AGAACAAGCCGGGCCCGTCGGGCATGGGCGGCCTGGGCGTGATCTCGCAACTGCTGCTGTGCAAGACCCTGCAACCCGACTTCCACCAGGAGGAGGTCTGCAGCATAGAGAAGGACAGCGACGACATCAACGCCATCCTGAAGGAGATGCAGGATTACATGCCGCAGGTGAGGAGGGGGGGGGGGGGTGGAGGGGGGGATAAAAGTGAGGGGGGAGGAGGGAGGGATAGAGGGTGAGGGAGGAAGAAGGGTTCGGGTATGGATAAAGGGTGAGGGATTGGGGGGATGGAAGGAAGAATACAGGCGAAAGCGGGAAGGAGAGTGAGAAAAAGGAGGAAGAGGATGAATAGGCAGAAATATAGATACATAGATAGACAGAGAAAGAGAGAGAAAGAGACACGGAGCGGCAGCGAGAGCAAGAGTGAGAGAGAGAGAGAGAGAGAGAGAGAGAGAGAGAGAGAGAGAGAGAGAGAGAGAGAGAGAGAGAAATAATAGAATAAAGGTACAGACGCAAGAAAGGACAAGAGTACAGAAATATGCAAGCGAATGATGAACAGAAGTAGAATCGATGATACAAGTAAACATCACAGGAGTCATCTCAGCATCTGCATCATAAATCGAGAATCTGTGTGTGTGATTGTTTACTTACATCTATGGTCATATACACACATAGAATGCATACTTCCTTACTCTTTTTTCTTTTTAATCTTTCTCCTCAGTTCTTGTGATCTCAGTTCCAAAATCGACCGCCACAAGCCTGTTTGTATTTGTATATTTATAGCGTCATCCACAGACACTGGTTTTCTACACGATCTTAAAGCCAAGGTTTCAATAGAGGCCATCAGGCGAGCAAACTTTGGCGTCTTCCCATTCAACAACATCCCCCCTTCCCCTTCCTCTCTGCCCCCTCTCCCCTTCCTCTCTCTCCCCCCCTCCCCTTCCTCTCTCTCCCCTCTCCCCTCCCTTTCTCCCCTTTCCCTTCCCCTTCCTCTCTCCCCCTCTCCCCTTCCTTCCTTCCGCCCCCCTTCCTTCCTTCCGGCCCCCTTCCTCTTCCTTTCGTCTCTCTCGTTTCCCCTTCCTTTCTTCCTTCCCCTTTCCCTTTTCTCTCTCTCTGTCCTTCCCCTTCTTCTTTCCCCTTCCCCTATACCCTAAGAGCTGTTACTTCTAAATTTTTCATGTATATTTTCATTTGTATTCTGTTTTGTTCTGTTCTGTTCGGCTCTTATTGAAATGCGTTCAATTTCCTTTTTCTATTGTTGGTCTCTAGTGGTCTGTTTGTCTTTTTTTCTTTCCATGGCATGTCTGTTCCTTCATTTCCCATCTCCAGTTCTTCGCCTTCCACGCTAGTATTTTCCTTTGTTGACTTCTATTCCTTTTTTCCCCTGTCCCTCCCCCCCCCTCCCCATGCCCAAATCCCCCCATGCCTCCCCCTCCCCAGACCACAACGCTCTTTCATCCGTTACTCAGTCTCCTCTGTTCTGAAGGAGGAAAAAGGAAAAAACAAAAACAAAAAAAAAAGAGAGAAAAAAGAAGATCCTAGATCCCAATTTTCTCCGCTGTAAAACATCGCCACAAAAGTTGCCATCACAGGAAAAGTTCTTAATGAAATCGGCTCAATTTGGTCATGTCTCCCAAGTGGTAAGCAGGGGAGGGGGAAGGGGGAGGGATAGAAGGAATGTGAGGGGAGGCTGGGGGAGAGGAGGAGGGACAGGAAAGGGAAAAGTGTGGGAGAGGGGAGGAGGGACAGGATAGGGAGATGAGAAGGAGGGGTAGAGGAAGAGAGAGAGAGTGAAGGGAAGAGACAGAGTGAGAGGAGGTAAGGAGGATGCAAGATGGGGGAGGGGGGAGGAGGAGAGGCAAGGGAATCGTAACTCACAGAGACAAAGATGTCGCGTTGTGGGTGATGATGGGGGGGGAGAGACATAACCATGGTAACGAACCCGTGTTTGAGAATCCCATGAACTGCAAGATTGGTTTTCAAGTCTTCATTTCCCTCGCTTAAAAAGGGCATATTTCGCCTGGAGGGAAAGCGGACCAAGGATCGCTTTTCTGAAACGAGACGAGAATGGCGGAGATGGAAAAATATTGCAATATCATAAGCAGTGGTGGAGCCCCGTCGAGCGCATCCATGAATGGTGCCGCGGCGAGGGCGCTTGACTTCAACTGACGCCAGTCGACTTCGCTTGACATCAACTGACATTCCCTGACTCTCCTTGATGTGAATCGACTTCTTTCTCATCCTGTTAAACGTCGATGGACTTCTCTTGATGTCGTTCGATCCCCTTTGACGCAACTCGGCCTCTATTGACTTTCTTTGGCTGACTTCTTTCACTCGATGTCTTTTGACGTCACTTCGCATCCCGTGAAGTTGTTCCCACATCGCTCGGCCTTCCTTGACCTCCCGTGACATAACACGACCTCTCTGAGCTTTCCCTGGCATCACTCGATATCCTCTGACGTCGCCAAACAACCCTTGACGTCACTGTCTCTTTTGATGTCAT